ATATATATATACAGATATATATATATATAGATATATCTATATATATAGATGGAGGTATTCTGAATATTTATTGTGAGATGAGGACAGTCTGTGCAGTTTTCACATTTGTAGAATTGGAGAATCGGTTGCTTTCAGTGTAATGGTAGAGGCACTCTGGAGACATATCATGAAAAGGCAGGAATATTATGTCTGAGAATATTCAGTGCAGTGGTTGAAATATTCTGTAGTTGGAATATTCGATGCAGATATGAAATTCTATGTAGAGGGTGTATGCTCTATGCAGAGAGGGGCATGCTGTGTGGAGGTAAGGCTTTTATACGTAAAGAAGAGAAGGCAGTTGGTGTTTGAGATATAGCATTTTGCAGATGAGACGTTTTATGTAGTAGTGAAGAAATTCTGTTTTAAAGTAGATTACATTCTCTTTATTGATTAAAGCTGAACTCCAGGCAGATATAAAATACACAAATTAATGATGCTATGTATTTATGAACACATCCTTAAATGCAAGCAAGTGTAAGTACCTGCACTTGACTTGACATCACCCATTGGAAATCCCCCGTGCAACAGAACTCAGATTGGAGGAGGGAGTGGTAACCCAATGAGCCAATCAGTTGTGCTACCATGCAAAGGACATGTTGATAAGATGAGAGAGCAAAGTGACAGATAGATGAGCTCATTAGTCTGCTACTTCTTCTTTCACTGTCCAGTCACAGGCTGGGGGAGGGAGAAGACCTATAAATGATACTTGACTTCAGCAAAGAAAGAACAGGTCTGTTGCCCTGGCAGACAATGTTGTTCTGTGAGGCACAGCTATTTAAATCTCAGCACTGAATAGACAGATATACAAATTCGGCAGGTAAAACAGGTCCTTCGTGTGTATTTCATATCTGTAATTAGAAGTTTGTCTGGAGTTCAGCTTTAAATTTTATTTAGAGAGCTGGGAACATTCTGTGTAAAGTTATTGAGATTGTAGAGGATTGGCAAATTAAACTGAAGACATTGTAGAAGCTGAGGGCATTCCTTGTAGACATGGATCATTTTACTGCTCTTCTGGAGTGACTCCCCAACAAACTGTTCTCTAGAGAAAATTATTGATACAATATTGATTAATTATTGATATTGATTAATTATTGAAGTACATATAAAGGTAAATAGCTGGGTTATGTTAGCGTCACCCTCTATTTGGAATGTAAGCAATGCTAATGCACATTGAATGCTTAGCCTCTAGAAAGTGAATCTAAAGGCAATGTTGACCGTGCTGTAAAAAATTTCGGGTTTATGGTCCCTGTTTCCAGCCACACGTCTGGTGGAGATGCCCACAGATATAAAATGAGTTGCTCAATCTGGCTAAAAATGGATTGAGGGTGAAGATCTCGAACATATGGGTATCTTGCAGACAATACTATCCAACAGTGCTCAGAAAAAGTAAGAATTACACAGATCTGAACGACCTTGTCCAATCCGATCGCTATTGCTTCCCTCTAGATAACTGGGGGTGTTTGTATGTACTTTCTCTGTTCTTCATGGGCTAAACATGAACAGTAGGCCAAGCCAAGCTTTTGTAGTTATGCACCAATATGGTCTGAAAGACATTTCAAGACAGATTATGCTTGCAAATCCTATGTTCTGGTATCTACAGCCAGATTATATATATAGCCTGATATGTGATCTCCGTATGTCCTTAGTTGATGGATGGTTAAATATTTGGTTGCAGCTGGTGAAAAAAAACTTTAGCCTTAATATTAAGGAAAAATCACGAGGTTAGGCCCCATCCTCTTTGGTTCCAATGGAAAGTTTCCATTTTCCATCCTTTAAACAATCACGCAAGAGCCCTGAAGGAAATATTCAGGAGATTGTGGGTATTAGCGTCAGCATCAACAAATATGGTCTGAGTTAATTTAATATGATCCAAGCCATTTGGCTCAATAGACTCCTTTAGACTCGGGTGTCGGGGCTTCACAGCCTTTATTACATTTTATTTTGAATAAATATATTTTAGTTATACTGTATGTTACTCTAATTATACTTCATGGAAGACATTCAAATATTTATTATTTCATAATTTCACCAACATTTGTGCCTATAGATATATATATATATATTGGACATACTTAGTAATGGAACCCAAACTTTTAATTATTAACAGAGGGATATGAAACTGATGTATTTTTGATAGAATATTTAATTATAATGGTATGAGAAAGGAGGTCATTATTTTGTTATTGTAATTATTATTTGTTTTTGTTTATGATTATATCAAATGGGGGAAAGGCGGGTCATGAAGTCACAGGACATTTTTGTCCCTTTTATTGCCAATACTTTCTGCACATATGTCAAGTGGATATCAAGTTAGCCACAAATTGAAAAAATATTGAGACGATTTGTCCATTCCCCCCCCCCCACCCCCCATAATACTCTGTGTATAGGACATCATCTGGTATTGTGGTGACCACATCTGCTAGTTAATGGAGATTAGTTCCATTGTCCCCTGAATCACCCAAGTTGACCACCAGTAATGATAGGCTAATCTTACAGTGCACTGGCACCTTTCTGAAGACTCTATATAGGTTCACATCACTGCATCAGGAGCCACTTTGTGAAGAGCTACGTGTAGGAAGAGTACAGCAATATGGCTATTTTAATCTCTGTGGAAGAGATCTAGTGGAAGTAGAAGCTTTGTAGATTAGCCTACACGAGAGATTGTTACAAAATGTCAAATGTTTGTTTGCTTTTGGATAGATCAGAGAAAGGTTAGGGCCTTTTGGGGGAAAAAAATGGCTTCAGCAAAAAATGAACAAAGTTCTAATAAACAGACTTTTGCTGCTGTCCATGCCCCGGTTGAAGGAGGTTCTCCTCACTTTTTGTCCTTGTGTCACAAAAGGAGATGAGGTGTAATCTCCCCAAAATTAAAACAAGCATAATATGGCTATCTCCAATATTTGGCATGATGTCCTTGGCTCTTAGTGTTCTGCATATTGATAGACAGTCTTTGATACACACCAGCTGTGTGAAACACTTATTGATTGCTAGAATCTGTGGGTGATGTAACCTCTACCTTGTTCCTGAATCTGCTTCCCTGTGGAAAACAAAATGTGATGTTCTTGTCTCAGGATTCTCTGTTCGTCCTGTTATATTTCTATTTGGAGAATTTATTAGGCAAGGAGTGAAACCCTTGCTTGGTTTCATAATACCCATGGCTGGGCTGCAGTGCCACAAACCCATTAGTGGAGATCTAGGTATTAGCGGTATGAAAGCTGTGTCCACTTGGAGCATTATTTTAATTCTAAGCGTATTTTAACTTGAACCATTTAAGATTTGACAAGGAGAGGTTGGGCAAAAATGTAGTATGTTCATTTTTAAGGGTGATTCTTTTTGTAAAATGCTCAAAACCACTGTATGTTGCATGAATTCCTAACTGAGAAACCCCAGTCAAAAAAAGGAAAATGTTCAAACAATTATGACTATCTGTCAAATATTTATTAGAAGGACAGTTTTCCCCATAGTATACTCATTCTGAAATGGAGAAATTACTTTTTGTAGTCTGTATTGCTTCTTTATGTAGTCCCCTGACTCCTGTTTGGACTCTTGGTTCTAGCTAATCAATGCCTATTTCCTAAAAAGATACTGCAGATTTGGGTTTTAGTCACTTACTCCTGCTCCCTACCTCCTCCCCCAAAATCAACCATTTGGCTGGAATTCCTTTTTGTAGGGTTAGGATCTCCACAAATGGTATTTCAGTTCCCAGCTTTGACCCCCAAACTCATGGGTCCTCCTACTGTATTTCGTCCTTCTTTATTAATGTGTCCAACGGCTGGCAGGTGAATCAGCAACATCAACTCCTTTGCAAAACCAAATCTTTGTTTTTGGTTGGTGTGGCCCTCTACCCCACTCACAAACACAGATAATGAGAAGTCTGATGAAGATATTTCCTATCTCTTGGCAATTTTCTTCTGACAACTTCAGAGAACAATCCCAGGGATCAAACCAAAGAAACACTCTGTATGTCTTCAGGAACATTCTGTCTATTGCTGCCGATTCTTCTTGAATTGGTAGGAGTGACCGCTAGTACAATAACCTGCAGACCATTAGATCAGCCAGGAGACTGCCGTACA